GTTTTCTTTATTGGTGTGGTCTTGGTTGGACTTGGGGATCACCTTTGGGCTTATTGATAATGGTGAATGACACCAGAATATTAGAGCTCAGTCTTTGAGTTCGAAGAAAAGAATTCAGAGCCAAGAAATCAAATACAAGTGAAAGTTTATTACAAAGTCAGAGGTAGAAGAAGTGAGCCAGCCTGCTGTGCTGCATGGACTCAGGAAACATATTACAGAGGCACAAGAAGGGCCCTAGGAGCTTAGGAAAAAGAAAACACACCTGAGGGAAGGAGGCAGGGGGAAGGTGCAGCTTGCTCCAGAGCAAGAGAGAGAGAGAAAGAGTGCACTAGGTTCTTTGTCTTAAGGTGTTGTATCTATTTTCTAAAGGCAAGCATTTTCAGGAGAGGATTTCAATAGAATATTCATCAGCTTTCCAGGTGTGTCCTTTCAAGATCATGGTTTCTACTGATTGGCCAGCACTAGGATCAAGGGTCCTTGATCATTGCATCTGGTCCTGATGACAACCATGGCATTGCTCTGTCTGATTTTGCTGCTTCTCTGGGTCTAGAGCTAAAACACAACTGAGCCTTCGATATTTTCTCTAGTTTGATCAAAACGCTGTCTCTGTTATCTGGGGTCAGAGGCTCTACTGCCAAGATTATGTGATGTGAGTCAGACTTCATTGTCTTGAGGGTTTCATGCTTAAAGGAAGTAGTAATGAACAGTCATTAAAGTGGTCATCAAAGGCTTCTATGGTAGTCATATGAGGCTCTTCTCCAGCCCGCTTGTTTCTCCTTTAAGGGGTCTACCACATAACTAGTGACCTGCCAGGAAAGGAAAGCTCAGGGGAGGGTCTGAATAACAAGACCAGCTGATATATTAGAGCAGGGGTCCTCAAACTTTTTAAACAGGGGCCAGTTCACTGTCCCTCAGACCGTTGGAGGGCTGGACTATAGTTTAAAAAAACAAACAAAAAACTATGAACAAATTCCTATGTACACTGCACATATCTTATTTTGAAGTAAAAAAACAAAACAGGAACAAATACAATATTTGTATTTGCATGTGGCCTGTGGGCAGTAGTTTGAGGACCCCTGTACTAGAGGATAAAAGGTCACCCTGTGTGCAAGTTCCCACCTTACAATTATCCACTGCTAGGCCCTCGGTGACCCTCTGTATCTAGCCTGTTCCTATTCTGCCATGTCTCTCTAGCTGCCTACTATATCACTTACTCTGTATAGCAATTTGAAAGATTTACTTTTTTTCCCTACGCTTTGGAGAGGTATAAGTGGCATTATAAAATTCTATACTTTAATAGATACCATATGATTCTAATGTCTTGTTGTAGAGGAGACTTTTAAATAGTTTTTATTTATTTTATAGAAATTGGTCTTTTAATATTTTTTCTATTTTTATTGGGGTTACTTTTGGTAAACTTTAAAACCATGAATTACCTGAGGTGAAGAAGCATGTATTTTTTATTTAGTTTCTGAAAGCCAAGGCTAAAGTTACTGAGAAGTTTGTAGGGTGTCAATAAATTTGTATTCACTTCCTGTTGTGCAGTGTGTGAGGCCTGCAGTACAGGAGGAGCAATGTTGCTTACGCGTAGCAGGCTTGAACTTCCTGGAAGTGTGGGTGGACTCAACATATGTATAACCTTCACTTCCTTCTAAAGCTTCACATAAACAGCAATAAATGATATAAATTTCCTTAAATGGCTCAGTTTGCAGCTGACCAGAGAAGCACCTTGAGTCTTAACCACAACCAGTCCTTCAACTTTAGTGATGGGGTGATCATAAGAGATCTAAACACGTACATGGCTGGTAGCTAGGGAAGCTGGAGGGAGAGATGGCCCATCTGGAGCAGCAGCTGGCATGGTGTGGCCAACTCACATTAGCAAATGAGGTCTGCCGTTAAGTGACAACATGTGTAACTATATAGCACCTCGTGCCCTGGACTGACGTTCCAAGTGTAAAATAAATGTGTGCACAGTGTCACTTCCACCTTCCACATCTCATGTCAAAGACCCTCTAAATTATAGAACCTAACACACCAGGAGAAAGCACTGAAGACACTACATAGAGGTTTCCCAAGACGTGGTCCAGCCAGGTAGTACTACAGTGCAGTCCTCGGAGGACAAACTACCCATATTTGCTTACAGCAATCAGTAATTGAGAGACCACAGTTAGTATGAGAGGACTACCTACCGAAGAGGACCTGTCATCGCAGAAGAGAGTTTAACATGAAAGACACACACAAACACACACACACACACACACAAACACACACACACACACAGTTGAGGGGAAACGGTATGTTTAAAGAGATGGAAGGGTCAAAGAAATTATGTTATAATAAATATTTTCACAAATATTAGAGAAATATTGCATCAATGAATCAGGAATTGCATATTATTAAAAAAGGAATATTCAGAGGGAATAATATTCCTCTATTATAAGAATAAACACTCTATGTAATTTAAAAATGTCACAACTGAAATAGCAAAAAACTGAAAATAACCCAAATGAACTGAGAATTACTAGCAAAAGCCGACATCTCTGCACAGAAGGGCTGTTGGGTCTACTAGTTTTTCATAACAAACCTTGTGATTCATGTTCTAAACACCACAAGGCTTATTATCATTAAAAGAGTCAAGTAAAAAACCTTACCAAAAAGAGGCAACATTTCATGAAACAATGCAGTAGTAATAATAATAGTTATAATCATATTTATCAAGCATTTCCTAAGTGCCAAGCACTGTGCTAGGTGCTATCTGTGGATTATCTCTTTGAATCCTCACTACAATTGTACACAGATTCCTTTATACCTATATCCCATGAGAAAACTAGTGCTTTGAGAGTTTGTTAGCTATCTAGTGCTGCAAAATGTTGCAACAGACACCACAACTTCATAGTTTCTCTGGGTCCTTGAGCAACTTAAACTGAGTGGTTCTGCCTGGACCTCTCACCGGGCTGCAGTTAAGGTGTTAGCGAGAGTTGCAACCATTGCAGTGTTTGGCTGCGGAGCTCTGCATCAAGGCCCACTCCCATGGCATGTCTCATGAGGGTCCACCCTCACTCATGCGAGCCTTTCCTCAAGGCTGCCTCTGGCATAGCTTGGCTTCCCCAGAGTGAGTAATCCAGGATTACCCAAGGTGGGAGCCACTGTCTTTCTATAAAATGACATTTATCCTTTTTGTCATATTGTCATATTGTCATATTGTCTTAGAGACACATCCATAAGTCCAGCCCACACTCAAGGGAGGGCATGAATTCATGAGCAAGATATGAATACCAAGAGTGAGGATAGAATGAGTTAGCTTAGCGGTTGCCTACCACAGGTGAATTGGCTTATCCAACCTCCAATAGGTATAAATGGTAGCCCTGTGATGCAACACCATACAATTTAACTCCAAGGTTTAAGCTTCTTTTAAAAAAATGTTTTTTATTGATTTCAGAGAGAGGAAGAGAGAGGGAGAGATAGAAACATTAAGGAAAGGGAAATATCAATCAGCTGCCTCCTACTGGGGATGGAACCTACAAGCCAGGCATGTGCCCTGATCAGGAACCCAGCCAGCGACTTCCTGGTCCATGGGCTAAAGCTCAACCAACTGAGCCACACACCCATCGGGCCCACGGCTCCTGTTCTTAATCGCTATGTAAGCCCCCAAATATGCTTGAGTGAGACAGCAACAACCCTTCCACATGGTTGTTATGTTGGGAGTGTGGGAGTGGCTGGGGAGAGACACCACACCTAGAGGTGATTTCCACACGCATGACACATACCCATAATGCATGACACAGCAGTTATTAGGTTTGGGAAAAGAGAAATCAGCTCTATATTATGGTCAGTATGTAGAGTGGAACTGTAACTCTCTCATTTATTTCCTAGTTCAGAAAGTGTATATGGCTGCAAGAGAGAAGTCCATGAGTGCAAAGATAACCTTGAAGTCACTCTAATTTATAAAAGCTCAAATCCTCTCAAGATTTAGAACTTTATCGGTAATGAATTATTTGAGGCACCCCTCATGCTTGATCATGACAAACGGCAGCTTCATTTTCCTGGGACGGGACATTCGTCACAGGGACACGTTGGCAAAGGTGAAGATTTGGTGCTCTATCTTTGAAGCTTTTGGGAGCCACTGTCTTTTAAGCATGGGATGATGACACAATTGGATGTGTACCTGCTGCTCAAAGTTATACCATTTTGTCGAAAGCATCAGGGAGCATCCTGTATTCTCATGCATAAGACGGCAGATGCCTCCTTTATACCCTGCCAGATTCATTCATGTTGGTGTAATGAGATTTCTATGTTTCTCACATCTGCGGATTGGTCAAAGTAGTCTATCTCAGGGCTTCTATGTCTGCCTCTCTCTGAACACAGACAGAGCTTCATGGCAGCAACCAGGCTGTGAGCTTCATAAGGCCCAGACTGGTTGCCTTCTTCATGTTCTGTCGTGTAGTGGCAACCACACTGTTGACATATGTTAACGACTTGATAAATGCTTGTTAAGTTAAAATAAACTTGATTAGTCACTGTGTTGAGCTCTGGACATACATTAATAAGTTAGTGCCATTTTACTTTATTAGTAAAAAGTCATGACTGTATGTGTCCATTCGGTTTTACATTCATTGATCAAACCCGTGCTGTGAAGATGGCACTCTGCCAGATGCTGGAATGTGTGCCAACAGCACACGGCCACCACTCTCACATGCTGTCACTGGTAGTCCTAGCTCAACACACCGTGCAGGCATCCAGGAGGGACATACACATCAGCACACAGAAGGTCATAGCCGAGGGAAGGGGGGAATCTTGAAGGGTGTGACTTCCGAGCTGGTGAAAAGAGTGACTGTTAAGTATTGGGATGCTGGTTTGTTAAGACTTGAGGGGAAGTCGAGGTTATAGGGGAAGGAAGGAAGCCAAGATTGACAGTCAGTAGAAGTATAAGTAACTGATGCATCTAAGGAATATGCAGAGCCATGCAACGTTTCCTTCCCACTGCCTTTGTGTCTCCCCAGCCCTCTACGAGCGATCCTGCGAGGTGTACCGGCACCGAGGGAACACCGCTGGCTTCTTCCACATTGACCCGGATGGCAGCGGGCCGCTGGGAGCTCTGCAGGTGTACTGCAATGTCACAGGTGAGGGTACAGACTTCTCACTCAGCTCTGTCCAGCTGTGTGATGGCACACGGCCAAGGGAAGTCCACGGCAAGGGACATGCTTGCAAATAAAAGATCACGTTCCGGGGGGAAATGACATTTTAGTAAATAATAGAATTAGTAGCTAGGTTATTTTCATGAGAGAAGAAAACTTGTTAACAGGCTTCGTGTTCCACCAAAACCAAGAGCTAATTACCAAGAATTTTCTATAGAACTTGTCACGGATGTTTTCTTTTTTAGAACTCAAAACCAGAAAGCACATGAAAACATCCAACCAACAAAAAATAAAACTCAGAGTGAATAGGAAGCTTGACTCAGGTGGTGGGAATGCCTGGCCCATGCCTGGCCCTGAGGACTGTGAATCGGCGTTCTCTCCGAGCTTCTGGTGCGGTGGGAATAGCGCTTTCTACGACTCAGAGCTGTGAGGAGTAGGCACATGCCCGTGTATCCTGTATCGGAGCAAGCAGTCAGACTAGTTTCCTTGTGGATGCCTCAGGGAAAAGGAGAGTGAACTATTTGCTTTTTCTGGATATTTTATTTATGCTGCCACTTCATTCTAAGTGCCTAGTCAGAGTCAGTTATTTCATAGGCTTAGAGACTGCATCTGATCACTACTTTATTTTGAAAAATAATTCTACAAAGCCACAATTTGAGGTAATCGTTTCCGAAAAACATCGCATGGTGAGTGCACTCTCCACTGTGAGCCATAATGGGCACATCCACGGGTTGGGGTTCCAGCCTAACTTGGAGGGGCCACAGAGTCATGCAGTGAAATGGGAAGCAAGGAGCTGCTGAGATAATACCTAGTCTTGGTGAATCTCAGCAGCTCCAGCTCCTCAGCAGCAAGGCGGCCCCTCCGTGGAGCTCGGTCTGAAGCAGACTCTGTCCTGGGCTCTAGGGATGCACAGAGAAATAAGACATAGTCACTGTCCTTCACGAGGCAGTAAAATTGGTGATACTAACGTGAAAAATCACAGGTAAACATGCAAGCAAACCTTTGCAAAAATGGTGATTAAGGACACTTAGCAATCCACCCATCTAAATACAAAGGGCCGCATCTTTTTCTGCAGAAAATGCTAGTTTCATGGAATTGATTGCCATTTCATTGAATTTCCATAATTCTTTATCTGCATAATGCATATATGCTAGCTGCTTCTCCCCAGCTTTATAAATAAATTAGGAATCATGATGCTGTTTCCTTTTCAAGGTTTTGGTAAACTACAATGCTCAACAGCCTGGTCAAGTACTAGGTAGGGTTTTCTGTGGATCCTAGTTATTTCAAAACTAGGGGCCCAGTGCATGAATTTGTGCACCTTGAAAGGAACTGTGGGCTGTGAGGCTGTGGTAGGCACAGGGATGAGTCTCTGGCCATCCTCCTCACCCCCACCCAACCGTTCCCGCCGTGGCCCCTGTCTGTCAGCAGCCCCACTCCCGCCACTGCTGCTCCCACATGCTGACAGTACTGGCCCTGATCACACCCGCTGATGGAGCAGAGCGATTGGGGCCAGTGCAGCCGTGGACAAACTACGGCCCGCGGGCCGGATCCAGCCTGTTTGAAATGAATAAAACTATTGAAAAAAAAGATGGTACCCTTTTATGTAATGATGTTTACTTTGAATTTATATTAGTTCACACAAACACTCCATCCATGCTTTTGTTCTGGCCCTCCAGTCCAGTTTAAGAACTCATTGTGGCCGTCGAGTCAAAAAGTTTGCCCACCCCTGGGCCAGCGCCATCAGTGGGTGTGAGCAGTGACTGATGCCCCAATCGCCCCTCAGGAGCAGGGGGAGGTGGAGAAGCCCTCAGGAGCAATCAGAGCTAGCAGCCACTGCTTGCACCTGCTTATGGTGCAGAGTGATCAGGACCAGTGCTGGGCACTGGCTGCAGGTGTGAGCGGCGGCTCTGGCACCAGCAGTAAGTGCAAGCGGGGGTGGTGCCAGCAGCAGGTGCAAGTGCCAGGCAGGACTGCAGTGTGCGGGAGCAAAGAATTTTCAGTAACCACCAGAGGCTTGCCCCGTTGACCGCAACCAGTGCCCCAGCTTGGTCTGGTGCCCCAGCTCACCTGCTCCACCATCCCACCACAGCCAACGCCTGCCATGTTCTGCACACACCCCCTGGTGGTCTGTGCACATCATAGTGACTGGTTGTTCAGTTGTTCCACTGTTTGGTCTATTTGCCTATTAGTCTTTTATTATATAGGATGTAATTAATATGTGGATCTGTGGGGGTTCTTGCTAAACATATAGACTTCCCTGCCCTATAAATTTTAATTCAGTAAATGCACGTTTACTAAGTTCTCCCAGTGAGTCTGAGGCACATTGTCGTTGGTCCATACTTTACCAAAATCAAGGACATGATTTGGCTGCAGAATAAGGCAAAGATCCATGCTTGCTGATGTGTGATCAGCAGCTACCACCTTCAGAAACTGAATTGAAAGGTTACAGATATCGTTTCTTTAACTCTGAGGTAGATCGCCTCACCTCTATCTTGCACAGAAGGAAAGAGAGTATGAGAATTTGACAGCTTGCTCGAGGTAATAATCTGGAACTAATAGTCAAGACTCGGGAAGCAAACAAAAGCTTCTGGCTCAGTAATAATGTGTATCACTAAACATTAATTAGATACTTTGTATTGCCTATGTTTTACTTTCAAAAGTGCTTTTATTTTTGTTATAAAATAAATCAATATCAATTATAAAAATTTAAGGGGAAAAAGGTTAAAGAAAATGTTAAAGTCACCTATCAACCACAATCCATAGATTGCTATTGTTATTTTGTTAGAATTTTCTTGTGGCTTTTCTCTATGAATATATGTGTTTTGAAATATATGTCTTAAAGTTGTGAAGTTGATAGACTAGCATAGACTTGTCCATATATCATTAAAATATGTACAGTAAGTAAAGTATAAGTTTTAAAACCCTCTAAAATAACCAATGGCCAGTGGCTCCATTGGTTGGGCGACATCCTATGCACCAAAAAGGTTGCTGGTTCCACATGCCCAAGTTGCGGCTCCATCCCCAGTGGGGTGTGTGCAGGAGGTAGCCAAACAACGTTATGCTCTCACATTGATGTTTCTGTCTCCCTTTCCCTTCCTCTCTCTAAAAATCAGTAAAAACTATTTAAAATAAAATAATGTAAGTTCAGTGACACAGAGGTATGATTGACTCATAGGTCTCATTGGCATGGAATCTCTGTGTGTCTTTGGGAAGCTTCGTCTCAGGGTTTATGTTGGTATTTTGCCAGGAATGGCTAGAGATGACTGCTGCATTTAAATGTGCCTGTCTTGCCGATGTGACCCTGAAGGAGTCAGGACCTCTGAGTCATGTCCCTGAGGTGCGAGGTTTCATTATGCATGGCTGGGCATTTCTTTAAGTACGTTATTTGGTCACATCCAGTTGGAAAGTATACAGGTTTTTGTGTTGTTGTTTTTTTCTAAAACAAACCTCTGGGCAGGCTGAATTATATAATTCTCATGTTTAACTGAGAAAAAATTTTGTACATAAATATATGATAGTCAAGTCCATACTTTTTATTTGTAAAATGTTAAATGTTCTTAAGTAAGTAATTAAGACACTAGCAAAGTGTGGCATGGAGTGTTCAGGGAAGAGAGGGAAGTAGAAGGATGAGAGGACATGGACAGAACACAGAATGGGGGTGGGGGAGGAAAAAGGGGGCTTGGTCTGCGTTTAACTCCCATTTATGAAAGCACCAAGTTGCTGTTCTCTGCCCTTGGGGGTAGCGTCACTGGGTAATGCCACCAGGAGTATAAATAGCCCCGGCAGGCAGCGGTCTGGGTTCTCTTCCTGACTCTGACCAGCAGCTGGGTGCTCCTGGCCTCTTTGCAGGTCTCTAATTAAGGACCTGGGCCCAGGCCATCCCCATTCAGCATTCCCAAGAGACTTGTGAGGTCCACAGAAGGGGGAGTTTCTAAGAAGTCTGCAGATATTTGCAAATAGAAGTCCTGAGGGTGAGGAAGGATGGTTTAGTCAGGGAAAACAGTTCATGTGAATCCCAAAGGCATCTCTTTAAAACATACCCTCGGGGAATGTTTTAGTTCTCCTTTCTGTAGGCACAGTAGCACCCCACCCTTCAGGAGGTCTCAGTCTGTGCTTCTAGCCACCATGACCTACCCCTACTGCAGGAAGAGCCCAGGAGGGAAGATTCCCAAAGCCCAGCAGCCACTGTCTCCTGGGATGTAAGCATCATGAGCTGTGCAGCGGAAAGGAGGCCAGTTTAGGGAGTAACCTGCAGGGCTGACTAGGGTTAGTGAGGAAGTGGACTGACCTAGGCCTCTACAGATTTTGACAATGTGTCAGCCTCAAGATTGCACCACTGCGCCCGGGACTAGTGGGTGGGAGATAGGGAAGGCCCCGAGTTTGGATGGAGGATGGACTGAAGTTGTGGATGAGGCAGATAAAGGGTAAGTTTCTGTAGGAATACACATTTGGCCTACTTTTCACATCTGAATGATTTACAATTCATTTCAGCTCAATGTAAAAGTGCACATTCCAGACACTGTGCAAACTGCTAGTTTTGTTAATAAGAAATTGTGTCTGCATTATTTTCTCCAGGCTTCTACAATAAAAATACAAATTGACTGGCTTAAAAACAAACAAAAACCAAAGTACATTGTTTCTAGCCTTGGAGACTAGAGTCCAAAACCAAGGAGCCTGCAGTGCCAGGCCCCTCTGAACCCTGTGGGGGGAAGCCTTCCTTGTTCCTCATCCTCAGGCCTTCCTAGGCTTATAGAGGCAGCACCTCAGTCTCTGTCTGTGGGAGGCTGTCACCTGCCTCATGGGACATAGTCACAGTGACCATCTCTTCCAGTGACAGTGTCTCTCTTCTCTTCTTGTAAGGATGCTGGTCATATTGGATTATGGCTCAATTTAAAGTGTATAACTTCATCTTTATTTTATTGCATTTGCAAAGCTCTGGAGGTCAGGACTTTACATATATTTGGGGAAATAATTCAAGCCACAAC